TTTTTTTAGCTTCTATATGTTACTATGTTTCAAACTGCCCGCTCAGAGGCCGGCAAGTCAGGCAGGGAATGTTGGAGTCCTCCATCACTGAAGCAAGCAAGCCTCATGTTAGTTTCAAGCTGCCTGGCTGCCGGCTGCCATCTTGGCTGCCAGTTAATTTGCATATCTCGCTGATTAGCCAACGGGAAGGGTAGCGGTCGTACGCCAATTACCATGTTTCTCTTTTATTAGTGTAGATTGAGGTATAATTCACACAGCATAAAAGTCACTCTTAAAATATATATTCACGGAGCCGTGCAACCATCCTCGCTATTCTAGAATATTTTTGTCACCGCATAAAGAAACCAGTACCCATCAGCCAGCCTTCCTCGTCTCAAGCCCTGGCTGCAACTAGTCTACCTTCTTTTTATATACATTTGCCTGACCTGGACATGTGATGTAAATGGAATCATGTGCTCTTTGTATAACTGGCTTCTTCCACTTAGCACAATGTTTCCAAGATTCATCTTTATGTTGTAGTACGTACCAGGATTTCATTCCTCTTTACAGATGAGTAATATTCCATTGTATGAATATACCTTACTTTGTTTATCCATTCATCTTTTGATGGACACTTCCGTTTCCACATTTTCACTATTATGAGTAATGTGACTATGAACATTTCCACACTGGGTGGAGGGTGGGAAAGCAGGGTTCGCCACCCCAAACTATGCCTTTTGAAATATTGATCATTTTAAACTGGTTATTTTCAAGAAACAGAAGACTCAGAAAGAACCTTTAACCTCCCCCCTAACTGCCCCTAAAAAATTGTTGAGAGAAAAAAAAAAATGTTGAGAGAACCTGCTCCAGAAAGGGACTTAGTATCATATATAACTACAGTTTAATATGAATTAAGTGTGACAGACAGGAAGGAACCTATCAAGGCTCTCTAATCAAATTCCTTTCTATGTCCCATTGTTAAAGATGTCTCAGCAAACATTTATTTACCAAATATTTGCTTTTTGCATCAACATGTGAATTGCCTTCCTGTCCTTTGTAGTTTATGTTCTCTTCTACTTTCCTAAATTTCCAACTTTATTCTAGTAAGTAAATACTTAAATTATTTTTTAACTTTTGTTTTTTTTTAAAAAAAGAAGCAAGATAGAATAGTGACTAAAAAGCTCATATTTTGGAGGTGACAGTCTGGGCTGAACCCTGCTAGTACTACTTAATAACCATGTGATCTTATGATTCAGTTTTCTCATCAGTAAAACTGGGGGCAAACTCATAGGGTTGTGAGGATTAAATGAAAGGGAAAGAATTCAGTTCTTAAAACATAGATATACTCAGTTTTGGGGGAAACCAAGATAGCGGCATAGGTTAACGCCGGAGTTTGCTGCCTCAAACAACCACTTCAAAAATACAACTAAAAGACGGAATGGACATCATCCAGAACCACAGGAAGGCTAACTAAGTGGAACTTCTACAACTAGGAGGAAAGAGAATAGCATACCGAGACTCAGAGGATGCACAGTGCTGAAGTCAAATACTAAGGTACAGAGGCACACACGGAGGGGGCTGGCGGCTGAGTGCGAGGTTGTCGTTGTTAATCGGGAGGGAATCTCAGGCTCTGAGCTCCAGTTCCGGGCGAGTCTCTAGGGACCCAAACTCATTCGGGAGGAGTGGGACTGTCTGGCATTGGTCGGAACCCCAGGGCAGCTTTCTCTCCAAGGGGTTTTCAGCAATTTCCAGAACATTGAGAAGCAAAGCTTCTGAGGACAGGACTGAGAGCAGCCATAACTGTTAGCCCCACCCTGTTGATTCCCTAGGACCTGCCCCGCCCAAGCCCTGCAGGGAGGCTTTTGCTGGCTAGCCTCAGGCAAAGGCTAGATTAGCCCCTCCCTAGAGGACAGTACTTCTCTCACTGCAGACACAGCTGATTCTCACAGCCACTTGGCCTGGAGGTCAA